CCCTAAACCCCGTCCCCCATCACCCAGCCCTCGCCAGGCCCCACTGCTCCCCATCACACCCCCTAAACCCCGTCCCCCATCACCCAGCCCTCGCCAGGCCCCACTGCTCCCTATCACACACCCTAAACCCCGTCCCCCATCACCCAGCCCTCGCCAGGCCCCACTGCTCCCCATCACACACCCTAAACCCCGTCCCCCATCACCCAGCCCTCGCCAGGCCCCACTGCTCCCATCACACACCCTAACTAAACCCCGTCCCCCATCACCCAGCCCTCGCCAGGCCCCACTGCTCCCCATCACACACCCTAAACCCCGTCCCCCATCACCCAGCCCTCGCCAGGCCCCACTGCTCCCCATCACACACCCTAAACCCCGTCCCCCATCACCCAGCCCTCGCCAGGCCCCACTGCTCCCTATCACACACCCTAAACCCCGACCCCATCACCCAGCCCTCGCCAGGCCCCACTGCTCCCCATCACACACCCTAAACCCCGTCCCCCATCACCCAGCCCTCGCCAGGCCCCACTGCTCCCCATCACACACCCTAAACCCCGTCCCCCATCACCCCAGCCCTCGCCAGGCCCCACTGCTCCCTATCACCCCCACTAAACCCCATCACCCAGCCCTCGCCAGGCCCCACTGCTCCCCATCACACACCCTAAACCCCGTCCCCCATCACCCAGCCCTCGCCAGGCCCCACTGCTCCCCATCACACACCCTAAACCCCGTCCCCCATCACCCCAGCCCTCGCCAGGCCCCACTGCTCCCTATCACCCCCACTAAACCCCATCACCCAGCCCTCGCCAGGCCCCACTGCTCCCTATCACCCCCACTAAACTCCATCACCCAGCCCTCGCCAGGCCCCACTGCTCCCCATCACACACCCTAAACCCCGTCCCCCATCACCCAGCCCTCGCCAGCCCCACTGCTCCCCATCACACACCCTAAACCCCGTCCCCCATCACCCAGCCCTCGCCAGGCCCCACTGCTCCCCATCACACACCCTAAACCCCGTCCCCCATCACCCCAGCCCTCGCCAGGCCCCACTGCTCCCTATCACACACCCTAAACCCCGTCCCCCATCACCCAGCCCTCGCCAGGCCCCACTGCTCCCCATCACACACCCTAAACCCCGTCCCCCATCACCCAGCCCTCGCCAGGCCCCACTGCTCCCCATCACACACCCTAAACCCCGTCCCCCATCACCCAGCCCTCGCCAGGCCCCACTGCTCCCTATCACACCCCTAAACCCCGTCCCCCATCACCCAGCCCTCGCCAGGCCCCACTGCTCCCCATCACACACCCTAAACCCCGTCCCCCATCACCCAGCCCTCGCCAGGCCCCACTGCTCCCCATCACACACCCTAAACCCCGTCCCCCATCACCCAGCCCTCGCCAGGCCCCACTGCTCCCATCACCCCCTAAACCCCTCCCCCATCACCCAGCCCTCGCCAGGCCCCACTGCTCCCCATCACACACCCTAAACCCCGTCCCCCATCACCCCAGCCCTCGCCAGGCCCCACTGCTCCCCATCACACACCCTAAACCCCGTCCCCCATCACCCAGCCCTCGCCAGGCCCCACTGCTCCCCATCACACACCCTAAACCCCGTCCCCCATCACCCAGCCCTCGCCAGGCCCCACTGCTCCCCATCACACCCCTAAACCCCGTCCCCCATCACCCCAGCCCTCGCCAGGCCCCACTGCTCCCTATCACCCCCTAAACCCCATCCACCCCAGCCCTCGCCAGGCCCCACTGCTCCCTATCACCCCCACTAAACCCCATCACCCAGCCCTCGCCAGGCCCCACTGCTCCCCATCACACACCCTAAACCCCGTCCCCCATCACCCAGCCCTCGCCAGGCCCCACTGGCTCCCGGTCACAGAACTAACACCATCAGTGGAGTCCTGTAGCTCAGTGGTTAGAGCACTCGCTTTGCAAGTGAGAGACCTGAGTTCAATTCCCAGCAGGTCAGGGCCAAACCTTGGGCAAGTTTCCTTACTCCACACAGAGCCTAATAATAATACCTCCAAAACCAAAACCAACAATAAATTGGTCATTTTCAATCTTGTTTGTGGGACATTGCTGTGCGCAATTGGCTGCCGCGTTCGCCCACAAATATATAGTCACTTCACTTTACAGTGTGTTCTGTGAAGCGCTTTGGGATGTCGAGAAGACGTGAAAAGCGCTATATCAAATGCAAAGATTATTATTATTATTATTATCAGTGGACGCACTTTCAGCCACTACTTCCCGAAACTCAGTCACTCCCTTCCCCAAACCCTCTGCCTTGACCTTCCTCTTTGACTGTGCTTACAGTCCCCTCCGCCCTCCCCCCTCCCCCCTCGGCTCAGTGTCAGTCTGCGCCACTGTGAAGCGCTCTGGAACGCTGCCTTGTGCCGTTGCCGGTTGTTGTTAACTGAGCTGTGCTGATGGGGTGAGTCGAGATAGGGAAGAGGAACGGAAACTGTGCCGTGGGCCGGTGTCAGGTCACACACTCGCCTCTGGTGCCGCTCGAACACTCACACTTCCTGCCCTTCTCTGCCCAGTCTCAGAGACTCTGAGGCTCTCCACGTGGCTCCCAACGGCCATCAGCTTCTGACTCAGCACCAGAGGCAGATCACACAGCGATTCTCAGCGTTTCAACTCTGGATCTCTCTCCCTTTGCTGCTTCCTTCCCCATTCTCAGGTCCCGCTCCCCCTTCCTGTCTCCGCCATTGTCCAGACTCTGAGCCTCTGCCCTGCGTGAGGGGCGAGTTGTTGTTGTTGTTGTTCTTGCCTTCTGTCTCGGGATGTCACTGAGCAGCTTTGGCTGCCGGGTGGGAGGGAAGGTGAACGCGGCGGACAACTTGCACACAGCCATGAGGTGAACACAGGGACAACAACAACTTACATTTGTTTAGCGCCTTTCTCCTCGGGAGGACGTCCCAAGGCGCTGGGAGAGAGAGGGAGAAACTCCCGTCTCCTCCCCCAGCGCCGCGGGAGATCTTTAACGTCCCCCTGAACAGCGCACAGACGGGGAATGAGGTTTAATGTCTCTGACGGGTCGGCGTGACGCGCTCTCTCGCTCTCCCCCCCAGCGCTGTGCTGGAGTTGGCTGATGATGGCAGCTCAGTGTGTGTGTGTGGGGGTGGGTTTGGGAGAAGAGAGAGAGACGGTGATTACATTTTACCACAAACATCCTTTTATTTTTACAGCTGCAAAGTATTGATCCTCCAAACAAACCGAATATTTACTGACCATAACCAAATATTAGGTCTGATTGATCCCGAGTTACACTGTCCATCTACACTCTCAGGTCAGCATTAGCGACAGAGTAAATAATAATGTTAATAATTCTTGCATTTTATTTAGCGACTTATCAAGTTGTTGAGACATCTCAAAGCGTTTCACTGAATACACTGTAATTTGTGGGTGAAACGCGGCTAATTTGCACACAGCAGAAACCCACAAACAACAACAACATTACATTTGTAAAGTGCCTTTCACGTTGGGACGATGTCACAGCTGTTGATTGAATAACGAATGATTTTTTAAAAACCATTTCAAAGGAATTGTTATCCCCAGAAAGTGATCCCCCAATCGACTAACAACCAGTTCCTGTTTACTGCTTTGTACACAGAGATGTGTGTGTGTGTGTGTGGGGGGTGTGTGTGTGTGGGTGTGTGGGGGGGTGTGTGGGGGGGGGTGTGTGGGGGGGGGTGGTGTGTGTGGGGGGGGTGTGTGTGTGGGTGTGTGGGGGTGGGGGTGTGGGGGGAGGGGGGGGTCAGGAAACTTGCCTAAGGTTTCACTCTGACTCACCCGGGAATCGAACCCGGATCCTCTCTCCATCGCTTGCGATGTGAGAGCGCAATCCACGGGCTACAGAGACCCTAAAGCTCCTCTACACTGTAGGTCCTGTCCACACTCCCAGGTCAGGGTTAGAGCACAGTCACTACACTCCCAGGTCAGGGTTAGAGCACAGTAACACACAGTCACTACACTCCCAGGTCAGGGTTAGAGCACAGTAACACACAGTCACTACACTCCCAGGTCAGGGTTAGAGCACAGTAACACACAGTCACTACACTCCCAGGTCAGGGTTAGAGCACAGTAACACACAGTCACTACACTCCCAGGTCAGGGTTAGAGCACAGTAACACACAGTCACTACACTCCCAGGTCAGGGTTAGAGCACAGTAACACACAGTCACTACACTCCCAGGTCAGGGTTAGAGCACAGTAACACACAGTCACTACACTCCCAGGTCAGGGTTAGAGCACAGTAACACACAGTCACTACACTCCCAGGTCAGGGTTAGAGCACAGTAACACACAGTCACTACACTTCCAGGTCAGGGTTAGAGACGCAGTAACACACAGTCACTACACTCCCAGGTCAGGGTTAGAGACGCAGTAACACACAGTCACTACACTCCCAGGTCAGGGTTAGAGACACAGTAACACACAGTCACTACACTCCCAGGTCAGGGTTAGAGACACAGTAACACACAGTCACTACACTCCCAGATCAGGGTTAGAGACGCAGTAACACACAGTCACTACACTCCCAGGTCAGGGTAGAGCACAGCAACACACAGTCACTACACTCCCATCAGGGTTAGAGACGCAGTAACACACAGTCACTACACTCCCAGGTCAGGGTAAGAGACGCAGTAACACACAGTCACTACACTCCCAGGTCAGGGTAAGAGACGCAGTAACACACAGTCACTACACTCCCAGGTCAGGGTTAAGAGCACCAGTAACACACAGTCACTACACTCCCAGGTCAGGGTAAGAGACGCAGTAACACACAGTCACTACACTCCCAGGTCAGGGAGGTGGGGAGGGGGGGAGGTGAGCTCCAACTGCAGTGTGAGGAAAGAAACACCAGAGGGCGCAAAACATGGGGAGGCATTAGGGGGCGTGACCGTTGAGCTCGCACGGTAATGACGCGGCACGCATGGTAATGACGCGGTACGCACGGTAACCAGGAGTGACGCGGCACGCACGAGAGTGACGCGAGCTGGGCCGCAGCCTGGGTCTCGGGTCGGCAGTCAGGCGGCAGAGGCCGCGGAGGTGGGAAGGTAAGAAAGAGCCGGGAGGGGCCGCGGGGTCCCGACCAGTCCCTGGGGACAGGGAATCCGCCCCCTCAGCTCCTGGTAACCCCACAGCCAAAGCCCCAACTGACTGACTGACTGACGGGGAGGGGGAGAGGGGCACTTTACTGTGAAGGCCGTCAGTGCTTTGCGATGTGTTTCCGATGGGATAAGTTGCTGTGACGGGTTATTTGTCTGTTGCGGTGGATGTTGGAGACCCGGTGGCGCTCTCCCGGTGTCTTGGCCGACAATTCCCAGAGAGGAATGGTTGTTTGTGGGATATTGCTGTGAGCAATTGGCTTCAGCGATTAAACCGCAAAACACACAGTCACTCCACTTTACACTAATGTATGTCCAGTGAAGCACTTTGAGGCGCTGTCCAGCGTGAAGGGCGCTATGTAAATGCAAGTTGTTGTTGTTGTTGTTGAGCGATGATGTGATGAGGCGCTGTATCAAGTGTAAGGATTATTATGTACATATTGTTTGTTGATGTTTGTGCAGTTGGTGTGGTGGCTGCCCCCGAGGAGCAGATGGGGTCCGGGCGGGCGAGGTGGGTGCTGTGTGCCCCTGTGGTACTGTCTGTGTTGGCGCTGTGTGGGGGAGTCCCACCGACAGGCGATTTGCTCCTGGAGTACTGTGTGATTGGGGCAGGACCTGCCGGGTTGCAAATGGCGTATTTTCTGCAGCGTTCCCAGCGGCACTACCTGGTTCTGGAGAGGAGCAACATCTCGGGGAGTTTCTTCACTCGCTACCCTCGTCACCGCCGGCTGATCAGCATCAACAAGCGATACACCGGCAAAGCAAACCGCGAGTTCAACCTCCGCCACGACTGGAACTCGCTGCTCAGCCACGACCAGAGGCTGCTGTTCAGACGCTACTCCACCGAGTTCTTCCCACACGCGGACACCATGCTGAGCTACCTGAACGACTATAGCCGGCTGCTGGAGCTGAAAGTGCGGTACAACACTGAGGTGACGGGGGTCCAGGTGGGGCAGGGCCCCGAGGCGTGGCATGGACATTACTATTACCTGACTGACCAAAATCACCAGCGTTACAGGTGCAAGTATGTTAGCTTTGCTCCCCATTCACACCCCCCACGTTTGCCATCTCCTCCTGCCCCGGCTCATGGCACTGCGGGTGGGGCTGGGGTAAAAGCAAGAAGGGGCTGGAGCTGGGGCAGGGAGAGCGAGACTGCGGGTGGGGGGGCAGGGTTGGAGTTGAGGGGTGGAGATGGAGCAGATGAGGTTCAGAGAGGGGCTAGGGCGGAATAAGGTGGGGCTGGGGGTGTGGGGCTATCACTATTCTACCCTCTCTGTTAAGCAGCCACGTGGCCTCTCTCTCTCTCTGCTTGCCCCAGTGTGCTCTTGGTGGCTACAGGCATGTGGGTGCCCAACACCTCCCACTTCCCTGGGGAGCAGTACCTGGAGGGATATGAGGATGTGTCGGTCAATCCCGAGGACTTCGCCGGACAGTCGGTCCTGATCCTGGGCCGCGGGAACGCTGCCTTTGAGACTGCCGACAACATGGTGGGTCACACCAACTTCATCCACATGCTGAGCCGCTCCCGTGTCAGGCTGGCCTGGAACACACACTACGTGGGAGACATCCGGTGAGTCTCTCCGGCTCCGGCCTGCTCCACTACCCCCACCCGCCCACCCCACCATCACCTGCCTCTCTATCCTAACCCTTTGGAACTCCATCCCCAGTCCCTTCACCTCACTCCCTCTCTCGTCTCCTTCAAGGTCCACCTCAAGACCTTTCTCTTCAACCGCAGCTTCAGTCACCCTCCTACACCCGCCCTCCAGATCCCAATCCCCAGCTCGGGTCCAAATCCCTGACTGTCCAGCGTCTTGGACTTGAAAGAATCTGTGTAAATGTCATTTATTGTTTTTGTTGAGTCTCTCAGGCCTCAGCCCGGCTCGACTGCTCACTCTCTCGCCTCCGACAGAAGGTTGTGGGTTCGATCTTCCACATCAGGGACTCTGAGCTCACAGTCTAGTCTGACGATCCAGCCAGCGCTGGGGGGAGAGAGAGAGAGATGCATTAACAAGAATAATCTTCCATTTGATCCCAGGCCTTTTCAAAGCCCTTCACAGGCAGACAATTTGCGCACAGTAATGTCCCCGCAAACAACAGCCATGAAATGAGCAAGCAATTTTATCTGGTGGATTGTCGGCCAGGACACCGGGAGAGAGAGAGTGAGAGAGAAAATCCCTTCTCTTTCCCCACAGCACCGCGGGAGATATTTAACATCCACCTGAGCAGGGCACAGATGGGGAGTGTGGTTTAATGTCTCATCCGAAGGCCAGCACCTCTGTACAGCGCTCTCTCTCTCTCTCTCTCTCTTCCCCCAGCGCTGCGATGGAGTATCAACCTAGACTGTGAGCTCAAAGTCCCCATCGTGGGGCTGAAACCCACAACATCCTGACTCAGAGGTGAGAGGTGGCAATCGACTGAGCCAGGCTGACACACAATGTCAGAGGTGCCGTCCTTCTGATGAGACATTAAAGATCTCCCGCAGCGCTATTGGAAAAGAAGGGAGTTCCTCTCTCTCTCTCCCTCTCTCTCTCGGTGTCCTGGCCGACAATCCCCCAAATGAAATGCCTCGCTCACTTCATGGCTGTTCGCGGGACACTGCAGCTCGCAAACTATCTGCTGGGCAGGGAGCTTGCAGGAGGTTCTGCCTGTGTCTGACTGTCCGTTACTCCCCTCCCCCCACACAGGGCAGTGAATAACGCCTTACTGGACACCTATCAGCTGAAGTCCCTGGACGGGCAGCTAGAGCGATCGCTAGACAACATCAGGATCGAGAGAGACAAGCAGGGCCGGCTTCACCTGTCCCTGAGCCGCGGCTCCGAGCAGAGCAACGTGTCTGAGGAGGCCACAGGCAGTGAGGGAACCCGGATAGACAACGTGGCCATCAGGGAGCCTTACCATCGCATCATCCGCTGCCTCGGATGGAAGTTTGACTTTTCCATTTTCGGCAAGTAAGCCTATCTGCGAGCCGCGTGGCCTCTGCCCTGACCTCGGGGGTTATTGGGGGGGGAGTTACCCCTCGTCTCAGCAACGCTGTGTGGGGTGGGGGGGGCGGTGTTGGCTGAAGGTGTATCAGAGATAAATGAGAGCGGGGGGTGAGAGCGGAAGAGGTGCGAGACATCTGGAGATCTGTTAGAGAAAGAGGGAGTGAGGCGAAGGAGAGGGAGAGTGGAGAGGAGGGGGGGACAAGAGGAGTCGAGGGAAGGGGCGAGGGCACAAGGTGATGGGGAAAAGGGTGAGGCAAGGGGGAGAGAGAGCAAGGAGAAGGTAAGGGAGGGAATGAGGAGAGGGATAGAGAGAGTGAGGAGAGAAGGAGATGAGAGAGAGGGAAAGGGTGTGAGGCAAGGGAGAGAGAAAGAGAGGGTGAGCGAGAGGAGGAAAGGGAGAGAAAGAGTGAGAAGTGATTCCTGGTTGAGAGAGAGAGAAAAAATCAGTTTAAAAAAAAATACAATGATTTCTCACATGGTTTCACTGCAGATTTAGTGCTAAATAGTCAATGGGATGTGGTTCTGGGTCACACAGTCCTCTGGCCTCTAACTGTATCAGGCTTGGCTATTCCCCCCCCCCCCCCACCACCCCAGCGCACTCACTGCTGATGGCAGCACAGCCCGGCTCATCGGCAGGACCTGGAAGGGCTGACCAGTCACTGGGGGCAGGGAATCCTCCCCCTCGGCTACTGGTAACCCAAAGCTGCCAGACAGTGATATCAATGGCCAAGCTGTGCCCTGTTCAGGAGGACGTTAAAGATCTCCCGCGGGGCTGTTGGGAAAGAGAAGAAAGTTTTGCTCTGGCTGACAATCCCCCACGTAAAATCACTCACTCACTTCATGACTGTTTGTGGTAATGTTGTTATGTGCAAATTGGCTGCTGGGTTTGCGCACAGACCATTGTGGGGCTTGAACCAACAACCTCCTGACTCAGAGATGATCACCGTTTGGTCACTACGCTTTACAGTGACTCACTTTGAGACCTTCTGCTGCATTAAATGTAAGAGTTGTTATTTTAAAATGAGCCTGTTTCTCTCTCTCCCTCTGTCTGTCTCTGTCTCTCTCTCCCTCTCTCTCTCGTTGGGTGACTGGGATCCAGTGACACAAAGCCCCAAGTTGGGTCAGGACGCAGACGGAAATACCCTGTGGTGAGCGCCAGCTATGAATCGCAGCCGGGGATGTTTGTGATCGGAACAGCCGCTCACTCCATCGATTACAGGAAATCTGCCGGGGGATTCATCCACGGCTTCCGCTACACAAGTAAGCTGTTAGAACACTTGCCTCACAAGCGAGAGGGCCCGGGTACAGTTCCCGGGCAGGGCAAAACTTTAGGCAAGTTTCCTCACTCCACACACATGCCTCTGTTTACCTGGCAGTAACCCGGTTGTTAGTCGATTGGCAGATCACTTTCCATGGTAACAATCCCTCAAAAAAAATAATTTGGTCACTGTTTGTGGGACGCTGCTGTGAGCAATTGGCTGCCGAGTTTCACCCACAAAATAAATAATTCCACTTTTCAGTATGTTCTGGAAAGCTCTTTCAGACGTCTCAAAGACGTGATAAGGCGCAATAGCAAACGCAAGGTCGTATGAGTTGGGACCATAACATTTAATGTGACTTATGCAAAGTGTGAGTTATGTAAAACTTGCATAAATCGTTTATATAATAATAATTGTTGTATTTGATATAGCGCCTTATCATGTCTTTTGGACGTCTCAAAGCGCTTCACAGAATATGCTCTAAATTAAACTGACTGTATATTTTGTGGGTGGATTGAGACACCAATGTTTTTTTTTGAAGGGATTATTACTCCTGGAAAGTGATCCGACAATCGACTGACAACTGGGTTCCTACTTACTACTAGGTAAACAGAGGTGTGTGGAGTAAGGAAACTTGCCCAACATTTCACTCTGCCCGGGAATCAAACCCAGGTTTTCTCGCTTGCGAGGCGAGGGCTCTAACCACTGAGCTACAGGACATATGATTTATGTGTAAATATATTTTATTATTATGATTCTAACCTGTGGCTGTGGGTCCTGTTTAGCGCGTGCCGTTCACAGGCTGTTAGACCATCGTTACCACGGTGTGGATTGGCCGGCCACAGCGTTGCCCATCTCCCAGCTCACCAACGCCATCACCAAACGGGTGAACGAGGCCTCAGGCCTGTACCAGATGTTCAGTGTCCTGGCTGATGTTGTGCTGATTCAGAAGTGAGTGTGTCTCCACCTGTCCACTCTCAGACACTGCCCCATGGCTAGACACTGCGGTGTACTGCAAGGTGTTGTCTCTCTCTCCTCTCTCTCTCTCTCTCTCTCCCCCCTCCACCGACAATCTCCCAGATAAAGTCACTCGCTCACTTCACGGCTGTTTGAGGGGACGTCTCTTTGTGCTAATTGGCTCTTGTGTTCCCCCGCAAAAACGTACAGTCGCTATTAGGCGCAGGTTGGCGAGAGCCAAGGCTTGGGGGGGCTCAGAGTGTGTGATGGGGTAACTTTACAGTGAAATCATGTGAAGACTTTGAGACGTCCTCCTGACGAGAAAGCTGCTGGGTCAAATGCAAAGGGATTGTGCTACGGAGGCAAGGAGGGTGAAGGCTCGATCACCGATGGTGGGGCGGGCCGGGCAGCGGCATGGAGCAGGCCAGAGTCCGCTGAGCGGACAGATCGGTATGGAGTTAGCAGGTCACAGAGGTAGGGAGGAGCGAGGCCATGGAGAATTTTGAAGGCGAGGATGGGGATTTTGAACTGACTGTCGCTGTGTTTGTGCTCTGTGTGTGTCACAGGAACGGGACCCAGTTTGAATACTTGGAGGAGTATCCCATCGGAGCGCTCCCAGACCTTCAGGAAAACACTGGGAAGAGGGTGGAACAGGGACTGTTTGTCATTAACCTGGAATATGGTAACAACTTCTCTAGGCCTGACTCTGATATCTTCTCTCTCAACCGTGCTGTGGGTGAGCCAAGACACGCCTGGCTGTCCAACTTCCTGCACCCAGTCATTTACTACTACACTCGCTTGCCAACAGGTCAGTCTCTATCCTAACTTGTGGAGTCCTGTAGCTCATTGGTTATAATAATAATAATCCTGCATTTGACACGACTTCGAGACGTCTCAAAGCGCTTCACAGGATACATTGTACAGTGAATTGACTGTATATTTTGTGGGTGAAACGCGGCAGCCAATTGCACACAGCAGCGTCCCCACGAACAGTTGTGAATTGACTGACCAGATTATTTTTTTAAGGAATTATTACCTCCAGAAGAACAATCCGCCAATTGACTAGCAACCGGGTTCCTACTTCTTGCTGGGGAAGCAGCACTATATATAGCACTCACCTCGCAAGCAAGAGGACCCGGGTTCGATTCCCAGACACGAGCAAAACCATAGGCAAGTTGCCTTACTCTACACCCTAGAAATCAGTAGGAACCCGGTTGTTAGTCGATAGGTGGATTCCTTAATTTTTTAAAAAAAAGTAATAATAATAATTAATCACTCAATCCATGACTGTTTTTGGGGCGGTGGTGTACTCAATTGGCTGCCTTGTTTCTCCCTCTTTACCTGCCCTTAACTCCCACCTGGAAACCTACTTCCACCGCGCCTATGATCACGTCCCATCTCCCTTGCTCCAACCCCGACCCTGTGCAGCGCTGAGTCTCTGTCCTTTGTGATGAGTGCTGTATAAATGCTACCTAAATATTCTTCTTTTATCATTGAATTATACAGCACAGAGGGAGGCCATTCGGCCCATCATGTCTGTGCAGCTCTTTGAAAAGAGCTTCCAAATCAACCCCACTCCCCCCTCTCTCCCCATATCCCTGATCAACCCCACTCTCTCCCCATAGCCCTGATCAACCCCACTCCCCCGCTCCCTCCCCATAGCCCCGATCAACCCCACTCCCCGCGCTTTCCCCATAGCCCTGCAAACTTGTCCCCAAATAATTATTTACTTCTCTCTTCAAAGTTGTTATGGAATCGGTTCCCACCGGCTTTTCAGGCAATAATTTCAGATCCCAACAACTCGCTGTGAAGACATTTCTCCTCCCCCCCCCCCCCCCCTCCTCCGTTTCTTTTAACAACTATTTTAAATCGGTGCCCTCGGGTTCCCGACCCACCCGCCGGGGGAATAGTTTCTCCTTGTTCACCCTATCAAATCCCCTCATCATTTTGTAAACTTCTGTTAAGTCTTTTCTTAAACTTCTCTGCTCCAAGGAGAATAATCCCGGCTTCTCCGGCCTCTCCCGATCACTGAAGTCCCTCATTCCTGGTACCATTCTGGGAAATCTCCTTTGCTCCCTCTCCAATGCCTTGACATCCTTCCTACTGTGTGAGGCCCTGAACTGAACCCAGTCTCTCGCTGAGGCCTCACCAGTGCTTTATATAAAGGTTCATCATAACTTCCTGACTGTTGTATTCTATGCCCCTATTTACAAAGCCGTGTATCCCGGATGTTTTTTTAACAGCTTTAACTTCCTGTCCTGCCACTTTGAAAGATTTCCTTATATGACCCCCAGGTCTCTCTGTTCCTTCACCCCCTTTAAGATTATACCATCAGCGTATATTGTCTCTCCTCGTTCTTCCTCACAAAATTCATCATTTCACATTTCTCCACATTAAACTCCATCTGCCCCGTGTCTGCCCACGTTACCAGTCTGTCTATGTCCGTTTGCAGTCGGTTACTATCCTCCTCACTGTTTACTACTTTTCCAGCTCAGTATCATCTGCAAATGTGGAAATTGTATTCCCTAAACCCAAGTCCAGTCATTTATATAGATCACAAACAGCAGTGGCCCCAATACCGACCCCTGGGGTTCACCACTGCACTTCCCTCCAGTCAGAAAATAAACTGTTCACCACCGCTCTCTGCTCTCTGTCTCCCAGTCAGTTCTGTATCCAAGCTTTTTAAGTCTTTGCGCTTCACAGTCTAGGCTGAAGCTCCAGTGCAATACTGTGGGGGGAGAGAGAGTGCCGCATTGTCAGAGGCATTGTCAGATGAGACGTTCAATCTCATCCCGGCCTGTGCCCTGTTCAGGTGGACGTTAAAGATCCTGCGAAACTGTTAGAAAAGAGAAGGGAGTTTCTCTCTCTCTCTCTCCCCCGTTGTCCTGGACCACAATCCCCCAAATAAAATTGGTCGCTCACGCCATGGCTGTTTATGGGACGTTGCTGTTCGCAAACTGACTGCCGTGTTTCTTTGAGACGTCCGTCTGTGGTAAAGAATTATCATTTTATTTCCTTCTCTCTCTAATCCCTCTCTCCCCCCGCCCCCTCTTTCTCCTCCTCTCGCTCTGACCCTCTCGCTCTCTCCCCCTCCTCTTTCTATCCGTCGTCTCTCCCCCCTCTCTCCCCCCCCCCATATCCACCCCTCCATCTCCTCCCCACTCTCTCCCCCTCTGCACCCCTCTCCCCCCTTCCCTCCCTCTCCCCACCTCCCTCTCACCCACACCCCCCCTTTCTCTCACTCCTCTCTCCCTCCACCTCTCCTCCCCGTCTCTCTCTCTCCCCATGGCCTCAGAGCTGGAGATGAGGTATCGCCCCCATCACTGGTCGCTGCCTCGACCACGTTACATCCACCATATTGTGGAGGATTTCCTGACGGACTGGACAGCAGCCAATAGCCACATCCTGCCCCTTCGCCGCTTCCTGGAGAACTGTCTGGGCACCGACCTCAGGAGCTTCTTTGCAGGTGGGATTTCCTGTGTATTAGGCGCAGGTTGGCGAGAGCTAAGGCTTTGGGGGGGCCCAGAGTGTGTGTTGGGGTAACTGCTGGAGTCTAACCGGCTAAACCCACACACAGTTGGCCATTGATATCACTGTCTGGCAGCTTTCCCGCTGCGTGTCCAGCTCGGACCCCCCTCCCCGTTAGTTAGTTGGGGCTTTGGCTGTGGGGTTAACAGGAGCTGAGGTGGAGGATTCCCTGTCCCCAGGGACTGGTCGGCCCTTCCAGGTCCTGTCCATGAGCCGGGCCGGGCTGTGCTGCCATCAGCAGTGAGTGCCCCGGGACACTGCGGCCCCTCCTGGCTCAGACCGGCACAGAGGGGGGGCTCGAGAGAGAGACCGGCACAGACATCTGGCTGCCACATTTCACCCACTAAATACACAGTCACTACACTTTACAGTGTACCCTGTGAAGCGCTTTGAGACGGGATGACGATATGATCAGGCTGTATCATGCAGAAATTATTATTATTTCTAATGGTTTACCTTGTTCCTGGTAGAATCCTGCTTTAAGTTTGCACTGACCAGCCAGCACGTGCCTCCGTTCTGCCGTGGCGGTTACCTGGAACAGCGAGGGTTAATGGGAGACAACATTCCCAGAGCTCCAGCCTCTGATCTCCACGAGCAATGACACCCACCTGGAGAGACGGGAAGAGACAGAGAGAGTGTGAGAAAGTCTGACTGAGAGAACGTGTGAGTGAATGAGAGATAGTGTGTGTGTGCGTGAGTGAGAGAAAGTGTAAGTGAGATGCAAAAGCTGTGAGAGAGTGAGAGACGTCTTATTCATGTCAAGTACTTGCAAGTCAGACGCCCGTACCAGCCTCAGCTCTCTCAGACACTCTAT